GAATTCACTTTAAAATTTAACACTAAAGTCAATATAATTTAAAACCCAAGTAACTATGTTGTTGTTATGTGCCATCGAGTCGTTTCCGACCCATAGCGACCCTGTATAGGGTTTCTGAGGGTGTAAATCTTTACGGGAGTAGAAAGCCTCATCTTTCTCCCGCAGTGCAGCTGGTAGTTTCAAACCGCTGACCTTAAGGTTAGCAGCCGGATTTGTAACCACTACGCTACCAGAGCTCCTTATACATAGTCCTTTATGTCTCCTTGAACTTTTTTTAAAAAATTCAAATGACATCTATTATTTACTGTTGCCCATTTTTCTGGCCATGAGACCCTATAAGGTGAGTGTACTGTATGCTTGTGTCACAAGAAGTTCCCAGGGGTGAAGTAACTTGCTTAAGATCACAAAGCTCAGAAGCCAGGAGATCAGTGTGAAACTTCAGGACCTTGGTCAGAATCCAAAATCATAGTCCATTTAATCTGTATGTTGGTTTTGATTAGGAGAGATTTGGTGGTGCTGTAGGAGAAGCACAGGACTGCTAACCACAAGGTCGGTAGTTCAAACCTACCAGCTGCTCTGCAGGAGAAAGATGAGGCTTTCTGCACCTATAAAACATTTACAGCCTCAGGATCCCTATACGGGGTCTCTGTGAGTCAGAACCAACCTGATGGCAGTTGGTTTTGTACCAAACAACTAAGGAGCCCTGGTGTCACAGTAGTTAGGCACTTGGCTACTGACCAAAAGATTCGTGGTTTGAACTCACCAGTGCTCCACAAGCAAAAGATGTGGCAGTCAGCTTCTGTAAAAATGACAGCTTTGGAAACCATATGGGTTTCCTGTGTCCCAGAGGGTCTCTGTGAATCAGACTCAACACTGCAGCAATAGTTTTTTTAAAAAAATGAATTGTCTACTTACTGGCTTCTTCTTTAACTTTATCCATTTCTGCCATTAAGGAAACTTCTTTGTCAATGATGCTAGGGAGGAAAAATGAAAACAAAAGCAAAGAATGCTTAATCCAAGATAAATTTTTAATAAGCAGTGGAAGTAAAAAAGAAATTATTTTCATTAAACATAATACAAAATTACCATAAATATTTCTATGCTACAATGCCAGCAGCATACTTTGCCTTTCCAAAATTGAGGAAACATGGAAGGGATGCACCCAAGTATTACACAGTGACATCTGCTGATTAAATCATTGTCAGCAGATCTAAAAAAAATCATCTTCCCGACTTCTAGAGTTGTGCTGCTTTGAATGCAATTTTGAGAGTATTTTTACCCTATACATCTCAAAGTTCAAAACAAAATAATGAAGATTTGAAAAGCTGAAACTTTAGGTCATTCCAAAGGAGACCTTCTGGTATTGAGGGTTAGGTGGGCTGCTTATTACAAGGTCGGCAGAACTTGATCAGATGAGGATAAAGAAGTTTGATACAGGGAGCAAGTGTAAATTGCTACAATTTGATGAACTGGACCTTTGCTTATGCATGTATTTGCCCAAAATTCCAACCAAAGGGAAGGATTCTTCATATCAAGGATTTAGCTTGCCTCTTCAGTACACTGGGTTGATAGGGACGGACAACTGAGACTTTGGCTATCAAAAATGGGGGGCGGGGGGGCTCTAAAGGCACAAAGTGGCTGACTTACAAGCTCTCCTGAAGGTGCTTGGAGTCAGACAAGGGGGTAAGATAGAATCCCCAATGAATAGTTTTCTTCTTGTCCAGATAGGTCTGATGATGAGGGGGATAGGATTTTATGATTCAGTTGTGAGTATTGTTATCAGGACTACTGGCGATTGTCACAACTGTAAATGTAGAAGAGGTGTAACTAAAAGGGGGGAGCAGTTAATCAGTCATTTCAGGAACAGATGACCCTAGGACCATCAAGAGGGAAAAGCATGAGAGGAGCAAGGAACCCTAACCAGAAAAGTGGCATGGCGACAGAGATGGTGGCAGAGGCGATGGTGTAGAGAGATAGAGCAGCTAACACTCAAGGCCCATGGACTGAGAAAGGCAATGTGTCTGCAGGCAGGAGGCTGGCTTGCAACATGTGCCCTTTGCACATTTAAACAAATATATATTTTCAACATGGTATGTGTACATCACACACACACACAAGGAATAGAGGTAAATACTATTAACTGATGGTACATGGAGGGGATTCTAATCATTGCAATCAATGATTTGTTGAATGTAAAACTGATGATTTACCTTGCAAACCTTCTCTCAATTCACAATAAAAGCTTTTAAGAAAACAAACAAGGTCGGTAATTCAAACCAATTAGAGGAAAATGAGATTGTCTACTCCTGTAAGATTTGCAGCCTCAGAATCTCTATACAGAGTTGCGATGAGTTGGACCTGGCTCAGTGGCTGTGGGTTTTGTTATTCAAGTCCTGTGGTTCTCAGATGCCCCTGTGCTCCACCCTCGGAGATTATGCCTGGGAGGGCATGAAGTGGGCCTGGTTCTGACAGTCTAGGTCCATACTCAGAGGAACATGGTCTGGGACAAACCTTCTCCACGTTATATAAGCAAAAGGTTAATGCTTGGCTGCTAACCAAAATGCTGGAGGTTCAAGTCCACTCAAAGCCTCCTCAGAAGAAATGCCTTGCAACCAACCCCTGAAAGTTGCTTAAAAACCCTATGAGCACAGTTCCACTCTTGGGGGTGCCATAAGCTGAAACTGACTTCACGGCAACTGGTTTAGTTGTATCTTTCTAATTCTCCTAATTAAGTATTCCAATGTTCAAATCAACTTTAAAAAATTCAAAATTCATTCATTTATTTATTTTTAAAAGTAAAATCTTCTTAAAGCAAACAATTATCTGTCCAAAAGTTTGTTTTTCTCCATCTTGACCCCAACTCCTCTTCCCAGAAACAATGCAAGATTGTTGTTGCTATGGTTATGTGCCGTTGAGTTGGTTCCGACTCATAGCAACTCTGTATAGGGTTTCCAAGACTTTAAATCTTTGAGGGTGCAGGAAGTCTCATATTTCTCCCAAGGAAGGAGCAGCTTTTGGGTTCAAACCACAGACCTTGTCGTTCGCAGTCCAGGGCTTATCACATAGAGCCACCATGTTCCTAATGTATGACTACAAATTTCTTATTTATCTTTTCACAGACTATGCATATGTTGTTGTGAAGTCAGTTCTGACTCATAGCAACCTTGTATAGCATTTCTGAGGAGTGGCTGGTGAGTTTGAATCACTGACCTTGTGGTTAGCAGTGCAGTGCTTACTTTACAGAGCCACACCAGGACTCCAGATAAGCATTAATATCTGCTATTCTTTTGATTTTAATTTCATTCATAAAAATTTTAAATGTGTCACTAAAGTTTTTTTGTTTTAAACACAGTCACACTATTATTACAACACCTACAGCATTGATTTCTTAATATGATCTAATACCTTTCAGTATTCAAATTTCCTCATAATTAAAAAAAAAAACCCAAAAAACAGTTTTAAATAAAGTCTATTCACTGCAATTCATTGGTTAATGTGTTTCTTAAATTTCTTTAAATTTACCGGTGTTCTCCTATCTTTCTCTTCTTCTTTTTTTAATAAGTGCAACTTATTTGTGGAAGAAACCAAACTGTTTGTCCTATAGAGTTATTCTCAGTATGAGTTTTGCTGTTTGCATCTCCACAGAACTATTTAACCCATTTCTTTGTATTCCTATAAATGTGTTGTCAGATATAGAAATTTGATTCGATTCAGGTTTAAATTTCCCTCTACCCCCAGGAGGAATATTTGTGTTTGTTCATTTCCATTAGGAGACATATGATAACACAAGACAACACTCATAAATATTCCTCATGGAAAAAAAAAATCAAACCTGAATTGAATCTAATTTCTATATCTAATAACACACTTATAGGAAACACAAAAGAGCTCTCTCTTTTTTAATATTAGCAGACATTGATGAATATTGCTTGGATTCAGTAAATCAATAGGGATTGGAAAATGGGAATATTAAAATCCTGTCATTCCTTCTTCATTTATTTCCTGAATTCTTCCATAAAGAGAAATACTCCCTTGTGAACTATTTGCTTATCCTGAAGTATAGTTTGTTTAGGTAAGGTAGGAAAATATTTGATTCTTTCCTTTTATCAGTTTTCAAAATAACAGTTGATTCCTTAAAGGCAAATTTTTGGCTTGTCTGTTGATAAGTTTAATTATGAACTCTATTTGATGTGCTTCAATCCACTGTTGTTATCTTCCTTTTTGCTACTCAGATTGTTCCATCATATAAACTTTTTAAAAGAACCATATACATTTCTAAAATTTGAAGTGTTCAATGAACATTTATTTCCTCTTGAGAATTTTGCATTGTTGGCCCAGGTAACAGGTAGTTTCTGGGATCTGTCTATAGTAGTTAAGAGTTCTGCAATCAGATGATGTAAACTAAACACTTGAAGAGCTAGCTCAACTCTGTCCAACCAGAAAATTCTAGTGGAAAGAATTGGCATGCATGATGAATGACAAATTCTCCAGAACTGGGCACTCACCCTAATCCATCAACCACAGACGACATCAGCTATTCCCATGACGCTGATGGCTTAAGTTCACTGGATATGGTCACTTTAGCGTAACTAGCATAGCAGGACATCTGCGCCTTATTTATTCACATTATGTAGGTAAGGGGTCCTGGTGTGGCACTGTAAGATAAGCATTGAACTGCTAATCAAAAGGTCATGGTTCAAACCTAGCTCCTTAAGCTTTAAATAAGTTACCTTAGCCAAGTCCAAAGTCCTCTCCCATTTAACCAGTTCGGATCATATACAGGGTCGCTATGAATTGGAATTGAGTCGATGGCACTTGACAACAACAACAACAACATATAGGTATAGGAAATATGTGATATCTTGGATATTTTTCCAGGTACAATTTATGCATAAAGCAGCATATGCTTGTTAACAGTATAAAATGCTAGCTTGAGTCAACAGACTTGTGCTGCTCTGCCAAGTTCACCAATGCAGCTTTAAAAGGGGCAGTTTGTTCTTCACAACTTTCATGATGAAGGCAGTGCCATCTTAGTTAGGAAAACAAAGGCTAATGGATAAGCTGCTGAGGAGAAAGGTGAGAACCTAGAGACTTGGGTGTCAGGATTCCAGCTACAAATTTCTGGGTAATTCCGCTGCCTGAGGAAATGCTTTGAACTTTTCATCCCCAATAAAGACTGAAAAAGGAGCAGAAGGAAAGGTCAAAGAACTGAACAGAAAGGAAAGAGAGGGGAGGGGGAGGGAGGAGGGGAAGTGGAGAGAAAGGAGAGGAGAGGAGAGAAGGAAGATGGGAGAAGGAAAGGGAAGAGAAATGTTGAGTTAGCAAGAAGGTAGGGAATTGTGGAAGGTGAAGACCCTCAGAGAAATCTCCAGTGGTGGGTGGGCCTAAGAACTTCTAAGAGCTAGAACATTCAATAGGCTATTTAAGTCTTGTGTTGTTTGGTGTAGAGTGTTGTCTTTCCTGTGATACCCAGATCTTCACAAGTTTGGTATGCTTGGTGTGAATGGTTTGAATATGTATGGCAACACACACATGGAAACTGGAAGGGACTAGATGTCACATTGGGTCAAAGAAAGGCTGAACCACTGTGAGGCGGCAGCAACTTGGAGGCCAAGTCAACATCAGAATATTAATACTTCCTCCACCCTCCCACTCCCAAACTGGTAAACCTGGAGAGGACTTTGGACTTGGTAAAGGTAACTTATTTGGAGCTTACGGGGCTAGGAGAGTCCAGCTGCCTTCCGGATTACATCATGATGGCACTATACATCACGTGAGACCTGAAGGTAAACCTGTGTTCTATTGTGTTCACCAGTGGAGAGAAGCAGGGTTGTATAAGGTCTATGATAGCTGAACCGGAATCAATTACAGAGGAGACTAGAAATGGGAAGACAGACAAAATAGTCATTCATTCAACAAATGCTGGCCTGCCATGTGCCAACAATGGTTTGGTTGCTGTTGTTGTTGTTAAGTG